GTAGGTCGCAGAGAAATTTTTTTTCAACTTTTTAAATTTTTGTGCACATGTGTGCACAAACCTCCCCCGACCCCCCAAGTGCCCCCGAAGTGCAGATATAGATATCCGCACGGAGGGGGCAACTTGGCTATTAGATATAGTGATATGGAGCAGAGGTCCATCAGTGGCTATTAGCCACAAGGTCTAGATAGGAACTCTCAGTCTGGGGCAAGGGATGCTCTGTCTTCTTGGTGCTTGGGGGGGGGTCAACAGTGGGTGGGCTTCTAATGTCCTGGCCCCACTGGTGGACCTCCTGATGGCACCTGGTATTTTTGGCCACTGTGTGACACAGAATGTTGGACTAGATGGGCCATTGGCCTGATCCAACATTGGCTTCTGTTACGTTCTTATATGTTCTTATGACTGGCCCAAGGTCACTCAGAGAAGAGCGGGGGGCTCAAACTGGGGTCTCCTAGACCTTAGTCTGACACTACAACATAGCCCAGGATCCCCTGGAATTCATGCTCACCTCCAGACTACAGAGATCAGTTCCCCTAGAGAAAATGGCTGCTTTGGAGGGTGGACTCTATTGCACTGTACCCCACTGAGGTCCCTGTCCTCCCCTAGATCCATACCCAAATCTCCAGGAGTTTCCCAACCTGGATCTGGCAACCCTACACCTCTATTCCCTGCCAGAGGCCAGGGGGGACCCGGAAAGCCAACGACTAAGCCCCTGGCTTTGTGTATACATCCTGGCATAACCAACATATAATCCTGGTATCCAGGGCTCTTTTTGGGCAGGAACGCACTGAAACGGAGTTCCGACTGGCTCCCGAGGTGGCCACGCCCAGCAGGAGCTCATTATCATAATAGGCCACACCCAATAGCAGAAACTCATTAGGATTGGCTACATTAGGGGTGTGTGGCCTAATATGCAAAGGAGTTCCTGCTCCAAAAGAAGGCCCTGGGTTTTGACAACAAACAAGGTAAACAGAATAAGAAGGGAAAGGTGAGTGTGGCTGGATGACCACACTTCTGGTAACATGGCGGTATGGCCTAATGTGCTAATGAGCTGTGCTGTCAGGGTGTGGCCTAATATGCTAATGAGTTCCTGCTGGGCTTTTTCTACAAAAAGAGCCCTGGAACTAACATATTTATTGCTTCACATATAATCCTGGTATAACTAACATATTTATTCCTTCACAACTGTTGACCGGATAACCTTAGCTTGTTAGTCATTTCTGTTTTTGCATACTTTAAAACATCGTCATTACGTTACATGTTACTTTGCTGTTAATCCCATCTATGTGTTTGAACTTTACCTCCCATTCCACTGTATTTGAAAATGTGTGCTTTGCACACAGAAGCTCATGCCTTGAATAAACCTTTGTTGGTCTTAAAGGTGCCACGGGACTCTACTTTTGTTCTCACGGTTTTCTGTACAGATCCTCCAGATTCAGTATGTGTGGCTTCGTTGTACCCTGGTGTACTCACAGGCAATGCTCCCTCTAAGCTGTGGACGCTTGTGAGCAAAAATTCTACTTTTGTGAGCTATTGGCATTAACGTTGTGAGTGAGCGATTTGGCTACTGCATACATGAGTTTGCTATGGAGCCATCCTTCCTGAGCGAAGACAAAAATGTGTGAGCCAGAGGCTAAAGAACTGTGAGCTAGCACACACTAACTTATCTTAGAGGGAACACTGCTTGCAGGGTAGGATTCACATATGCTTCTAGTCACTTGACAGTTTGCATGCGTGAAGCTCTAACACAAAAGGAAGAACTTCCTTATCTCCCAGACACGATACTTTTCAGTTTTGGATAAATTCACACATTTAACCACCGGCCAGCAAACGTACAACGGTCAAGGGTAGAGAAATCAAACCGTGCAAACGCACGGGCTTGTGTGAATCAGTCCCAAGAGTGGCAATGGAACTATAATCCTTTCAGTCAAAAGACAGTGGGGTTCATAATCCAGATTAGCTAGCAACAAAGAATTCAGAGTCTGGGTGCTGGGTGGGTAAGCCGTGTTGGTCTGAAGCAACACAATGAAGTTCTGAGTCCGGTGGCACCTTTAAGACCAACAAAGTTTAATTCTGGGTAAAAGCTTCTATGTGCATGCACAGATAGCTGAAGAAGTGTGCAGGCACATGGAAGTTTATACCCAGAATTAAACTTGGTCTTAATGGTGCCACTGGACTCAAACTTTGTTTCTGCTGCTTAAACTTTATTATGTTGCTTAAACTTAAATTTTGTTAAAGTTACCGCTGGACTCAAACTTTATTCTGGTTTGTGTAATCCAGATTAAGAAACACTGTGATCTACTGGTATGTCATCCACTAACATAATAGTGCCTGGCCTTCCATACGAAACAGCTACTTTTAACCACACTGAACTTTAACAGGGTGGAGAAGGAGTTAAGGAAGACCCTACTGTATTAAGAGAACCGTATTAAGACTGTTTTAAGAGAACACCAGCCTTTAGGCCCAGGGATTCTTGGCTGACCCTCTTCTTCTTGGTCAGACCAGGCAGAGAACATTTTACCCACAGGCTTCCCGTTCTAACCATTACACACCACTCTCCACCCTCGAGAGAACGGAATACGGTTTCCCTTTATGTGACCAGCTTTCCTGTCAGAGCGGACCACTGCTTCCCCTCTCTGACACACTAAGTCACCATTTTCTTACTAGGAATAAAATCCACTTTGAGATCTGATGCCCCCCCCACACACACACATGCTTTGACTACTGAACCTTACTTCCTTCCAAAAATTGGAAAGCCCCACTAGATTGTAGACCAACACAGTCTAACCACTGGAACCCACTGTCCTCACCATTCTGGGTGGGAAAATTACTGACTGTTGGCACATTCCAACTGCCATAAGCATACATATGAGCCGAAGATAACTTGAAGGAGATATATATATATATATTTACCATAAGCCACCAGCGAAAAGAGGAAGAAGAAACGGATCCAGGAAAAGAAATTCATGTCCTCAAGGAGCGAAGCAAGAGAGGCCACTGGGTTTCTAATCAGCAAATGTCTTTTCTCTCTCTCTCTGCCTGCTCTCAGCCCAGCAACGGATTCTCTGCCAACACTTCTTTGTCTGTTTATTCTTTTAAAAGGGTTTTCCCTTCTGGCCCCACCTCTGACATCAATGGGAGAGGAACTTCACCCCCCCTTCGCTGAATTTGAGAGAATGACACAGCCGATAGTCACACTAGCGCAGGAAGGAGGTGGGGAGGGGGAAGCGATGAGAGTTGAACTTCGCCGGCGTGTGTGTGTGTATACGGCTTAATGGCTTTTCCTTGGCATCTGCTCTCCACGCATCCAGGAACACATGAAATCATTTTTTTTAAGCAGTAAAGTAGTGAGTTTCAAAGGGCCACCGAACATGTGCAGAGTGCGGACGGCTTTTGACTCCGTTTGAGTCTGTCTGGGATCAGGAAAAGATTATTCCAGCTCCGGGACCAGTTCTACGACGGCCGGTCCACAAGACCCGAGTAGGAGGCCCTTCTTCCTGGCCTCATCCATCACCTGGTAGAATACCAGGACTGACTTCAGGCCGGTGATCCAGGCTCCCCATTGCTGTGGACGGGTGTTGGGTGATAGTGAGATATTGAAAAATGGTATTTTTCCAGTCCAGCAGAGCCTGAGTAAAATAATTCAGACTGAGAGTCCATGTGTGATTAAAATGTAAAGTTTTTACTAAATTCTAGCATGGGGAAGGGTGACTGGGATGAAAATAACAACAGAGCTAAACGTCTACATCCTTACACTACATAGACAAAACTAGAAGAGATCAATTATGGCTTCTCTCCTTCTTCTCCTCGAGAACAGCAAACAAAGACAAACAAAGACGGGAAGAGGAGCCATAAAATGCTAAAACACTTTGACACTTTTGTCCCAATCAAACTCCTAGAACAGGGAGAAAATTCCCGGGCTTCTTATAGCTAAAGAACATTGGTTACATGAGAAACATGTGACTTCCTGTGAGTAAAAATAAACAGACATTTAACCCCAGATGTACTGAGTGTTTTCAACTTGTAATACCCAACAATGGGCTGTATCAAATGGCGGTACCAGCCCTGACCCCGGAGCAATGGCCATTGTGCTGATCGGTCGCGGCTGCGGCTGGGAAGCGGCTGGCTCACCCTCGTTGCTCATTGCTCGGAGGAGCGTAGGTAGCTGTGCGTTGTCTTCCCTCGCAGAGTCCTGACAGCCCAACTGGAATGCTTAGCGGGATCCCAACTTCGTCGCCATTAAAGTGTAGTGGGTTAGACGCATGTAGAAACCACTAATACGGATGTAGTGATCAGCAGAGGTCATTTCAGGGGGGAATGCGAGGGAACGCAGTTCCCCCGGGTGAAGTGCAGGGGGGCGGGGCACATGACGAAGCCCCGCCCCCTGCTTCCGGCCGCCCCGCTTCCAGCAGGAGAAGAGGGAGGGTAAGTTGCTTCCTCCCCGCCTCTCCCCACCCCTGCCTGCCTGCCTGGGGCCAGGGAGGGACTTGGTGGGGCTTCCTTGCACTCCCGCCGGCCTTGCAGGTCCACCGCTGGGCCCCTGATGTCAGGGGGTGTGGCATATGCTAATGAGTTATGCTAATGAATTCCCCTAGCTCTTTTTCTATGAAATGACCCTTGGTGATCAGCATGGTTTACTGGTACACAACAAAGACTACTGGCCGGCTGGCCAACTATATGCACACCTGGGGACACTCCCCTAGGTCCCGTTGGTGGGTTTAAATCTCTCGCCACGGTCCTATTGGTTTCCCAGTGGAGAGACTAGTAGCCTAGTCCCCATTGTTCTTACAGAGTCAAGCTCGGGGGTATTCGCTGGCCCCTGGTGGCGGTCAGCAGACATAACAAAGTTTTAGTTTTTTTCAGGGGACATACCCATCTCTTGGAAAGAGGCGACGACAGTGGTGATACATAAGAAGGGCAGGGACCCACTCTACCCAGCTTCCTACCGCCCGATCTCCTTGCTAAACCAGGATCTAAATTTATTTCCCTTCTATGATGGCGAAACGCCTTAACGACATTATCCCAAACTATATCCACCCAGATCAGACTGGGTTCACCCCCCATAGAGACTTAACAGACAACACCTTCAAAACCCTCCACCTTCTCCAGTATTGTAACATTTCAAACGTGCCCTCTACCTTTCTTTCCCTCGATGTCGAAAAAGCCTTCGATACCTTAGAATTCCCATATCTGTTCCACACACTCCAAAAGATGGGTTTGGGGCCTAGGTTCATCATGGCCCTCAAATCTCTCTACGCTCAACCAACCACTAGCCTGAAAATCAATGGAAGTCTTTCAGGCACTCTTGGTTTGTACAGAGGCACCCGACAGGGGTGTCCACCAATGTTCCCTCTAAGCTGTGGAGTCTTATGAGCAAATACTTTGTGAGCTACTGGCATGAAAGTTGTGAGCGAGCAATTCGGCTACTGCATAAGTCAGTTTGCTCTGGAGCCCTCCTTCCTGAGCTGAGACAAAAATGTGTGAGCTGGAGGCTAAAAAACCATGAGCTAGCTCGTACTAACTCAGTTTAGAGGGAACATTGGTGTCCACTGTATCCGCTACTCTTTGCGTTGGCAGTGGAATCCCTAGCCCAGGCAATCAGGTCTAACCCTTTAAGATTAGGAAATCCAGATTTAAAATTCCACTGTTTACGGACAACATGATGTCGTACCTAACCAATCCCACCTCATCTTTTCCAGCACTTCTAACTACTCTAGACTCTTTTAGTCATATCTCTGGTCTCTACATCAATGACTCCAAATCCTATGTCCTCCCTATACACATGCCCAAAGATGAGACTGCAGCTCTACAAAAAAGGCCCACAGCAGGCTGAGGACACAGGCAGGCTCTCCTCAGAGCACCCACAACCCAGCAGCCTCCAAAGCAGCGTGGCGGAAGGAGAGGGAGGGCAGCGGGCACCAGGTTGCAGGGGGCGACAGGGTCAAGGCAGGCTGGGCCCACAGTGCTAGTTTGGTGTCGTGGTTAAGTGCGCGGGCTCTAATCTGGGAGAACCGCGTTTGATTCCCCACTCCTCCGCTTGCACCTGGCTGGATGACCTTGGGCAAGCCGTAGTCCTGGCACAGCTGTCCTTGAAAGGGCAGTTCCTGAACAAGTTCTCTCAGCCCTGCCTACCTCACAGGGTGTCTGTTGTGGGGAGGGGAAGGGAAAGGGGTCTGTAAGCTGCTCTGAGACTCCGAGTGAAGGGCGGGGTATAAATCCAATTTCTTCTTCTTCTTCTTCTTCTTCTTCTTCTTCTTCTTCTTCTTCTTCTTCTTCTTCTTCTTCTTCTTCTTCTTCTTCTTCTTCTTGACATGAGAATTGGCTTCTGCAGATGGGTCATCTTGGGAAGCCGGGTTTGTTTCCATTCTTTTTCTTCTCTGTGCTGTATTCCGGGACGAGTGTACCCTCAAGTCTGCCGGGAAGTGGAAACCGCGCTCTCACCAATCTGGTCGCTCTCTGCAGGCGATCCTTCTGTCATTACTCAGAGGTGAAAGAAAGGGCTAGGGGGGCCAGTTTCGGCCACTGCCTCGATGGAAAACAGATGTCAATGCTGAGTCGTAGGGAAGAAATGAGACCATTTAGTGGTGCTGAGCATATCCCGTCTGCTACTGCGAAGTGAGGATTTGGGTGAGGCGGGCATTGGTAGGGATGCCAGCCTCCAGGTGGGACCTGGGGATCCCCCGGAATGACAGCTCATCTCCAGGTTACAGAGATCAGTTCCCCTGGAGAAAAGGGATCCTTTGGAGGGTGGACTCTCTATGGCATTGTGCCCCACTGAGGTCCCTGCCCTCCCCAGCCTCCACCCCCAACTCTCCAGGTGTTTCCTGACCTGGAGCTGGCAACCCTTCCCCCTACCCCCCACCAGAGGCCAAAGGGGACCTGGCGACCCTAACTGGGTGGCCAACTCTGTGTTGGGAAATTCCTAGAGGGCTTTGGGGGGTGGAGCCTGGGGAGGGTGGGGCTTGTGAAAGGGAAGTAACTCATTGGGGCATAATGCCCCAGCAGGGTACAATGGCATAGAGTCCACCCTACAAAGACACCCATTTTTCTCCACGGGGACTGATCTCTGGAGAGCAGTTGTACCTCTGGGAGATCTCCAGGCCCTACCTGGAGATTGGCAACCCAAGGCAGGCAACAACAAAAACTGGCCGAGTTCCAGCTTTGGCAATAGGAGGGGATGAAGTTCAGGAGACTCAAGGATGGTTTATATGATCAGCCAGGGGTCATTTCGTAGAAAAAGAGCTAGGGGAACTCATTAGCATAACTCATTAGCATATGCCACACCCCCTGACATCACCGGAAGTGTGTCATAAGGCCACACACCCCGCCACCAACGGTCCCGGCTGCCGCCGCCGGCCTTGCAGCTCCACTGCCGAGCCCCATGA